TTTAGATAATGGAGAACAATTTTTTAATGTTGTAACTGCCTCCTTCTTTGTCAGTGCCATGAGTCAAAAATTTATGCTGTGAATATGTCACTTTCTTTTCTTTTTCCCCGGGAAAAGTTTCGCTCTTGTTGCCCAGGCTGGAGTACAGTGGCATTCTCTCGGCTCATTGCAACCTCCGCCTCCCGGGTTCAAGCAATTCTGCCTCAGCCTCTTGAGTAGCTGGAATTACAGGCATGTACCACCACCATGCCCAGCTAATTTTGTATTTTTAGTAGAGATGGGGTTTCTCCGTGTTGGTCAGGCTGGTCTTAAACTTCCAACCTCAGGTGATCTGCCTGCCTTGGCCTCCCAAAGTGCTGGGATTACAGGTGTGAGCCACCACACCTGGCCTCAATATGTCATTTTTTAACTTCAACACTATTAGAAGCTGTCATCCCCACTCCACTGTCCTCATATATCTGTGGCATGCCCTTCATAGTTTTCTACCAGAGTCTCACTTGGTCCCCAAAGCCTTGTTTTCATTAGTCACCTATTGCAGATGACCACAGTTGATAATTTAGTTTTGTTATGTCCTAAATGAACTATTGGAGATCCATCTTATATAGTTAACTGTACCCTCACTGAATTGAAATCTAACCAATTGGATAACATTCTCAGATTCCCATTACCTTGATAGTTGCAATAATTTAATGAGATAAATAATATTATCCAATATTTTACTGAATTTTCACTGTGCGTAGGCACTGAACTAAGTGCTTTTCACACATAACAAAGTTTAATTGCAAAGGTTAGGTGATAATTATTTTTAAATTTAGGAATATTTAAAATATCCCTGCCCCATCATCACTTCATGTCCTGTGAAAAACTTCTGGTCTTCACAAGTTTTAAAATCAATTAAATTTAAAATAGTTGACATAAATTAATATCTTTTGCCTACAGTTCTTCCCTTTTTTTGACTTGTAGATGTAGTTTGTTTTCATTATTCACTGTAGTTATGTTCTTTAAAGTTGCCTTGAACACCGAATTAGCAAACATTGAGCCATTGCTCCTAGGGGAAAATACAGGGTTAGGTTCCTGTAAGTCTCGGTCATAACATTTTTGTCAGCTGATCTATAGTAACTTGGTGTGTTTCTGTTTAAAGATACCTTATTAATACATATTGTTGATGCATTAATCTCACATTTAGAGCCAATAGCACTAAAATTCATGAACAAAGCTTATTTGCCACACATATTTTTCTCCACAGCCATCTTGCACTTAGCAACACTAAGTAGCCCTAAGCATAGTGATAAAGTATTAAATAGTGAGATGACCGACAGAAAGCACAAACATGCAAAAATGTGGCACTTAATAGACCACACAGAGGACGTTTGTTTATGATACGAGGGCGGAAAGAAGGCAGAATGCTGTCTTTTGTCTTCAGGTGGGTTAGCACGCAATGGACAGCTCGGATTGTTTCACCGTTTTGCGCATGTCTGCCTATGACTGCGAAAGTGCTGCAGTATGAATTTTGGTGCAAGCAGGCAAATTCACAAATGCGAAATCCATGAATTGGTGAGGATCGACTGTATTTCTCTTGGTGCCACTAATTTATCATTGGAAATTTATTCTTTTTAAATTTTTACTTGACTTGCTTTTCTTTTTTTTGGCCTTGCACTGTCGCCCAGGCTGGAGTGCAGTGGCACGATCTCAGCTCACTGCAGCCTACGCCTCCTGGGTTTGCTTGAAGCGATCAAGCAATTCTTCTGCCTCAGTCTCCAGAGTAGCTGGGATTACAGGCCTGCACCACATGCCTGGCTGCTTTTTGTGTTTTTAGTAGAGATGGAGTTTCACCATGTTGGTCAGGCTGGTCTTGAACTCTTAACCTCATGATTCTCCTGCCTGGGCCTCCCAAAGTGCTGGTATTACAGTTGTGAGCCACTGTGCCCGGCCTTCATCTGCTTCTGAAACTTATTAATTTTAATTGTAAATAGACAAAAATTTACTATATTAACTATTAAAAATGTATAGTTCAGTTAACCAGTTACAGCGGCATTGATTATGTATAGATATGGCTGCTTTGACTTCACAACTACACAGTTGAGTACTTGCAGCTGAGACCTTTGGCCTTGGAAAAATTGCTGTCTGGCCCTTTACAGCAGATAGTTGTAAAAATGTATGGTTCAGTACTGTTAAGTAAACTCACATTGTTGGGCAACTGGGAGGAGAAGACGGGACTTGACTCCAGTGGTGGAGCTTGGACTCTGCACCATATTGAAGACTAGCTGAAGCAGGGAAGAGGTAAAAGCACCTCTCCATAAAGTGTCATATCAGTTTATCATTGCCATGGCAACACTTAGACGTTTCTGCCCCTTTCTATGGTAATGACATAGAAATTACCACACATTTCTAGAAATTTCAGTAGAACCTGTTCCTTAATTTGCATGTTATTAAAAGTAGGTATAAATGTGACTGCAGAACTGCCCCTTAGCTGGTACTCTGGTCACACTGCTTATGAGGTAGCCCTGCTCTGCATGGAGCACTGCCTCTGCTGCTGCTTCCATGAAAGTTGCTAACACCACAGGTTCGCCCTTGAATGCTTTCCTAGGTGAAGCCAAGAACCCTCCTGTGCTAAGCCCCAGTTTTGCCCCTTGTCTACCCAGCATCACAATCAGTCTGCAGTATTATTCATCCTGCAAAACTGAAGCTCTATGCCCATTAAACAGCTTCTTCTCATTCCTCTACCCTGTAGCTGCTGGCAACCATTGTTCTTATTTTCTGTCTTTATTAATTTGAGTATTATAGGTACCTTATGCAAATGGAATCATGTAGTGTTTGGCTTTTTATGAACTACTTTAATACACTTAGCATAATGTCCTCACAGTTCATCTGTGTTGTAGCATGTGTCAGAATTTCCTTGCTTTTTAAGACTAATATTTCTTTGTATGTGTAGACCGTGTTTTGTTTTCTGTGATGGACACTTTGGTTGCTTTTGACTTTTGGCTACTGTGAATAGTGCTGCTGTGAACATGGCTGTACGAATATCTTTTAAGATTCTTTTTTTTTTTTTTTTTGGGTCCACTAAGTTTATCTTTTGTATGCCATACATACACATTGTAAAAATGCATGAACCAGCCAAATGGAGCAGATGTACACTGTGAAGTGATGTGTTGAAAGTTCTTAGTTTGAGCTCATTCTATTCACCAAATACTGCTGTTATTAAGCCTTTGATATGTAACCTTTCAAATGTGTTTTTATGCACTTTCAGGTGTGTATAAAAATGTGAAAAATGCCGGGCGCGGTGGCTCAAGCCTGTAATCCCAGCACTTTGGGAGGCCGAGGCGGGTGGATCACGAGGTCAAGAGATCGAGACCATCCTGGTCAACATGGTGAAACCCCGTCTCTACTAAAAATACAAAAAATTAGCTGGGCATGGTGGTGCGTGCCTGTAATCCCAGCTACTCAGGAGGCTGAGGCAGGAGAATTGCCTGAACCCAGGAGGCGGAGGTTGCGGTGAGCCGAGATCGCACCATTGCACTCCAGCCTGGGTAACATGAGTGAAACTCGGTCACTCAAAAAAAAAAAAAAAAGTGAAAAATATTTAATATGATTTACATGAGATTATATGCATGCTGTTCTGTTGATAACCGGATACGTTGTGAACATTGTTTGTGTAAATACAAATATATTTTGTTCTTAATTTCTACCTGGTAGTCTGACTCACTATGTACCATAACTTTTTAGAAATCAAAATGAGTTTTTAAATTACTTAAAAGTAATGCATGCATGCTGCAGAATCTCCGCATAGGATAGAATGGTATGAAGAAAACTAAGAGTATCTCTTTCGCCATCCGCAGGCGTTCTAAAGGCAGCCAGTGTTAATAGTTGTTTATTGCTTGCTTTAGTTACTTTAAGTGATAAATTCTACTAAAGACTATATTAACTATGGGACACATTTCATTTGAAAGCGTTGAGAAAATTAGTGTATTCATCCTTACATTTTCTTTTTCCAATTAAAAAATATGTTATTTTTACAAGGTAAGGATTAGAGCAGGGGTGCCCAATGGTTTGACTTCCCTGGGCCACAGTGGAAGAGAACAGTTGTCTTGGGCCACATGTAATATACACTAACGATAGCTGATGAGCTAGAAAAAAAAAGTTGCAAAAAAAAAAAAAAAAATCTGTGTTTTAAAAAAGTTTATGCGGGTTGGACAAGCTTGGATTAGAGTTTGCAGCTATGTAGTTTCGAACTTCTTTTGTCCTATGGGATGATTTTTAAAATTGAAAAACATTAATTGTTATGACCATTCACTTATATTTATGAGGAAGGGAATAATACGGTCATTTAACTTTGGCTGTTAGAGGAGACTCTCCCACTGTCAGTGACAAGTATAGAATACTTTGTTTTGTCACTTGTTAACTTCTGGTTCATACTCAGCTGCCACTGTTTCTTCCGTGTCATGTTGTGTTTACTTGGATTCCTTTTTTGTTTTGCTGCTCTACCTTTTCAGTTTTTTCATATAAGTAAAATTTCAGTTCTCGAATGTCTGAATATGTCTTTATTTTGACTCAGTGGCAAATCTGACTTGACAGCAATGCTTTCAACTTTTTCACGTGATAAATTGGTAGAAAATGGTCGTATTTGTTTGCTGTAGCAAAGGCCTCTGGCTGCTCACCTGGTAACCCGTTGGTAGCACACAGGTTGAGGAAGTTTGGGTTTAGGAATATAGTTTCAAGGTTTGTTACGTTTTGTTACGTTTTTTTGAGATGCAGTCTCGCTCTGTCGCCCAAGCTGGAGTGCAGTGGCGTGATCTTGGCTCACTGCAACCTCCGCCTTCCAGGTTCAAGCGATTCTTCTGCCTCAGCCTCCTGCGTAGCTGGGACTATATGCACATGCCACCACGCCTGGCTAATTTTTGTATTTTCAGTAGAGACGGTGTTTCTCCATGTTGGCCAGGCTAGTCTCCAACTCGCGACCTCATGATCCGCCCACCTTGGCCTCCCAGAGTGCTGGGATTACAGGTGTGAGCCACTGCGCCTGGCTGTTTGAAGGTATTTTTCTTGTAGAACTTGGGGGGGTAGAACACTGCTGTATTGTCCTCTAGTACCTGGTATTTCTGATTAGAAGGTGGATGTGAAGGTCATCCAAGTTTTGCTCTGGATGCTTTCTTGACATTCTGAAATTTTACTGGCAGGAATCCAGTTACGGGTATTTTTCATCTGTTCTTACTGTTACTCTGTGACTGTTCTCAGCTTCACAACTGAATCAGTTGTTCTTGAGCTCTTGGAAAGTTTAACTTGCCCCCTCCATCTCTGTTCTTCACTTTTGGATGTCTTATGTAAGTGGATGTTGGACTCTCTTGATTGTCACTTTTTCATTTTTTTCTTATACTTTTTTTTTTTTTTGAGACGGAGTTTCGCTCTTGTTACCCAGGCTGGAGTGCAATGGCGCAATCTCGGCTCACCGCAACCTCCGCCTCCTGGGTTCAGGCAATTCTCCTGCCTCAGCCTCCTGAGTAGCTGGGATTACAGGCACGCGCCACCATGCCCAGCTAATTTCTTTTTGTAGTTTTAGTAGAGACGGGGTTTCACCGTGTTGACCAGGATGGCCTCGATCTCTTGACCTCGTGATCCGCCCGCCTCGGCCTCCCAAAGTGCTGGGATTACAGGCTTGAGCCACCGCGCCCGGCCTCTTATACTTGTTTTTTTTGCGCTACTTTCTGGACAGTATTTATATTCTAGCCAAATGAATTTGGTATTTAGCTATGCCCAATTTATTAAACAATTGAATTTTTTTTCCCTGGTGTTGGAGACTCTCTCTGTCCCCCAGGCTGGAGTGCCGTGGTATGATCTCAGCTCACTGCAACCTCTGCCTCCTGGGTTCAAGCGATTCTCCTGCCTCAGCTTCCCAAGCAGCTGGGACTACAGGTGCACGCAAGCACGCCTAGCTAATTTTTGTATTGTTTCTTTTAGTAGAGACGGGTTTCACCATGTTGGCCAGGCCGGTCTTGAACTTCTGACCTCAGGTGATCTGCCTGACTTGACCTTCCAAAGTGCTAGGATTACAGGCATGAGCCATTGCACCTGGCCAATGCTTTAATTTTAATAGCCATTGCTACTTTTTTTAATGTGGCCTATTTTTTTGTGTGTTTTTTTGAGTCATTGTCAAGATATTAATGAGAATTAAAATATGTTTGTTCCCTGATTTCTGTATGTTCCTGTTGTACCTTTTATATTATTAGGTTTCAGCTTTCGGCAAGTTTTTGGTGCATCTTGGTTAGTCTTCTTAGTTAAAGTATGTTTTTGTTGCAGTATGTGTAAATAGTTCTTTTCCTGTAAGGCTTCTCTCTTGAATAGTAGTTCTGGTGACAGGTTATGTGAAATGGGGTCAGGTGTGGACCAGCAGTGTTCCTTCTAGGTGGTGTGGGTGCGGAGTCAGCAGGTACAGTGGTACCCTGCTCGCTTGGGTTGCTCTGGTATCTTCAGTACTTGCAAGGAGCAGTGCTTTGGTATATTGCACTCAGATGGTGAGAGATCCCCTCCTCTTTCTCTCCTTGTTCTCCTTTTTTTCTTCCATCCCCTTTTATTTCTGTCTCAGCATTAGAGGTCTGGTGTTCCCTTCATCTTTCTGCTGTACTGCTCTCTCAGACCTGGCTACTCTCACAGAAAGCCTTACCTGGCAACGATGTCCACTTTTTTTTCCCCTCCCAGACAGCGTCTTGCCCTGCCACCCAGGCCGGAGTGCAGTGATGTTACCTGGCTTCCTGCAGCCTCCACCTCCCAGGCTCAAGTCAGCCTCTTGCCTTAGCCCCCATGTAGCTGGGATCACAGGGGTGTGCCAGCTGACCTTTTTTACTCTTTGTAGAGATGCTGTCATACCATGTTGCCCAGGCTGCCCTCACACTCCTGGGCTCCATCAGTCTTCGCATAGTGCCAGAATTAAGGTGTTTGCCACTGCGCCTGGTCAGTGCCCGCTTTTTATGGAGATTTCTTCTCTGGCTTTATCCTAAAGGCAAGAGCTGCCAGCATCAGCGTCTCTGTTCACAGGATCAGAGGCTGGGATAGTCTGTCCAGAATGTGGGTAATGCAGTGCTCTGATGAAGCACCCATAATTGTTTCCTTCTCCTTGTAATTGTGATTAGTATATAACTTGAAACTTCTCTAGTGTGGCCTTGAAAAGACTTTGGTCTCTTGTATGTAGGTTTTTTTCTCTGTCAGTCTCTTCTACTTTCAACCTGTCCAAAAGTTCTGTAGAATTTATCATCATCCAATGACATCTACTTGTTCTGCAACAGTGCTGTTTCATTTTGTCTTTGAGATAAGGTCTTGCTCTGTCGTGCAGGCTTGAGTATAGTGGCACGCTTCGCTCACGGCTCACTGCAGCCCCAACTTCACAGGCTCAATTGATCCTTCCACCTCAGCCTCCCTAGTAGCTAGGACTAAAGGTACGACATGCTGCTGTTCCTTGCTAAGTTTTGTATTTTTTGTAGAGACGAGGTTTTGCCATGTTGCCCAGGCTGGTCTCGAAGTCTTGGACTCAAGTGGTCTACTTGCCTCGGCCTCCCAAAGTGCTGGGATGGCAGGCCTAAGCCAAGGACCCTGGCCTGTTACTTCATTTTAGTTTAAATCTTTTCCCTTTATTTTTCATGGGGCCTTGGGAAGGAGGAGCAATATATACATTTGTCTGCCTCAGACTATAATTCACTAATTTATGACTGTGAATGTCCCCAAACATGCCTCTTTTTAAAAAATGTTTGATTTTATTTATTTTTATTTAACTAATGTATTTGTTTTGAGACAGAGTCTTGAGTTCTGTCACCCGGTGGAGTGCAGTGGGATGATCACAGTCCAGGCAGCCTCAACCTCATGGGCTTAATCAATTGATCTTCCTGCCTCAGCCTCCCAAGTAACTGGACCACAGGCCCATGCCACCATGCCCTGCAAATTTTTGTGTTTTTTATAGAGATGAGGTTTTGCGATACTGTCCAGGCTGGTTTCAAATTCCTGGGCTCAAGCAATCCACCCGTCTTGGCCTTCCAAAGTTCTGGGATTACAGGCGTGAGCCACCATGCCATGCCCGGCCATGTCTTTCTCTTAATGTACATTACTACTTTAGTATATAGTGCCTTAGAAGAATTAATCATTTTTCCCCCATAGCATTTTAATGTATGCCATAATGCTAACATTTTAATGTATGCCATAATGCTAACAGCTGTTTTCTGGGCTTATGGCCTGTTACAGAAGTAAACATGCAAAGTCATAGTGCCTGCTGTCACCTGCTGAGAGCTTTTTTTGTGTATAAGGTTATACATGTGAGTGAGGTCATCTTTTTTCTTTTTTTTTTTTGTGGAGACGGACTTTCACTCATGTTACCCAGGCTGGAGTGCAATGGCGCGATCTCGGCTCACCGCAACCTCCGCCTCCTGGGTTCAGGCAATTCTCCTGCCTCAGCCTCCTGAGTAGCTGGGACTACAGGCATGTGCCACCATGCCCAGCTGATTTTTTGTATTTTTAGTAGAGACGGGGTTTCACCATGTTGATCAGGATGGTCTCGGTCTCTTGACCTCGTGATCCACCCGCCTCGGCCTCCCAAAGTGCTGGGATTACAGGCTTGAGCCACCGCACCTGGCATGAGGTCATCATTTTAAGAGACAGTATATATTGGAGGATATTTATCCAGTCACTCATGAAAATGATCAGAAAACTGATAAAATTGAGTAATTGTCTTTAGCGAAGCATAGTAAAGCAGAGAAGCATTTTTGAAGATGGTTTAGTAAAAGTCCTGGGGGAAGAGAGTGAAAGAAGCAGCTTGTTCATTTCTCTTCTCTGCCACAGAAGTACGCTATAGTTTTAGGGCACACTTCACCAGCAGGGGAGAAGTATGGTACTTCATGCCCCAAGTGCCTTTTCATGCAACACCTTTTAAACCCTGTTTGTTTATCTATTTTTGATAATGTATGTAGGACATTATGATAGATTTTACTACTCAGAATTTTTAAACATCAGGATTTTGATTAAAAATTGGGAAGATGGCCGGGCGTGGTGGCTCATGCCTGTAATTCCAGCACTTTGGAGGCTGAGGCGGGTAGATCACTTCCGGTCAGGAGTTTGAGATCAGCCTGGCCAACATGGTGAAACCCTGTCTCTTAAAAATACAGAAATTAGCTAGGCGTGGTGGTGGTGCATGCCTGTAATCTCAGCTACTTGGGAGGCTGAGGCAAGAGAATCTCTTGAATCCGGAAGCCAGCGCACCTTTGCACTCTACCCTGGGCGACAAGAGCAAAACTTCATCTCCCAGGGGGGAAAAATACACATGTCTGCCTTGTATGTGTGTGTATGTGAAACCGAAATTAGTTTCATGAAACAATATTTGCCCTTCATGTGATGCCCTCATATTGCATTCATTAAAAAAGGATATGGCAGGCTGGGCGCGGTGGCCCACGCCTGTAATCCCATCACTTTGGGAGGCCGAGCTGGGTGGGTTACCTGAGGTCAGGAGTTCGACACTGCACTCCAGCATGAGCGATAGAGGGAGACTCTGTCTCAAAAACAAACACCACACATACACACGTACACACACACACACACACACACACACACACACAGTGCCTTACAGTGCCAGGAGTGATACAGATATTTATTAATAGAAAGCCTTTTATTATCATCATCGTTTTTACTGTATACCGGTTACTGTATTAAGTAGGCTCTGAGATTCAAACTTTATTCTTGCTTTTAGGGAGGCAACATGTTACTACTATAGAGACATACAGACATAACTGTCATACAGGGTGAGGTGGATGTCAGTAGAGTATGTAAGAGGTATTGCAACCTCAAGGAGGAAGTCAGGGTAGGGAAATTACAGATGTATTCCTTGTTTAAAAATTTTAAGGAACAGTCTCTCTTAAATTACCCTCAGCTAAATGGGGTGTTTCTTTAAGGAAGCATAGAGGGGAAAGACGGGAATTATCTTAAAGCTGCAAAGCCAAGTGTTTCAGGAAATTGTAGTACTGTTTTGCCTATAACTGATTGTTTTTACTTTCTG